TGAATGACTTGAGAAAGTATCAATCTTGAGGTTTTAGATCAACACAGCCCACATTGCTAAGCTTCAGCCGTGATCACCATCTGTCAGCATCTCTGGCCATTGAAAACATTTGCTAGTTGCTGCCGAATGATCCAGATCATCAATCCTTCCAAAGAATGTGGTTTGGAAAGCCGTGTTTGACATGTCTGGCTTGATTGCCCACAAGCCTCCAGTTATGAAAGCTTAAAGTTGCTCAAGGACCCTATTAACACCACACACATGCCTTGTCGTCTCCTAATTGGCAGTGTGGGGGAAGGCACAAGGGGACATTTGGGGCATCCTCGTTCCCTTTAATATCAAGAAAGACTCCCTTTGGCTCTGGACTGTTGTCTATGAGTGTGTCCGTCCACAAGGCCATACTATCTCCCATGGGCTGGAGCCTTTGCAAAGGCAGGAGAACGGCCTTTCATCTCCGTGAAGCCTGAAAGACTCAGACCTGAATAAGAGGACTTCTATCCAACTGGCCGCTTTATGCCAATACCTGACAATAGGCCAGCCCGCCTGGCATGTTGATTGCGGCAGGCAGAGCAAGGCCTCTGGGCTCTCCGGGGAGATTCCAGTGCACTCGGGGTTGACCATGGTGTCCCTGGTGGGTGCAAAGTGCTGTGTGCTTGAATCCCCCGGAGGTGCTTCCAAAGAAAAGACCTGCTTCCCAAAGGTCATAAGCTTGGAAACCCTTCGGAGTGAAGTTCTGACAGTGCCCAGGGTCACCACGAGTCCAAACTGGCTCAACGGCAGTGGGTTGGGCTCTGGGCTGGGGTTGGGCATGGGGTGGCACTAAGCTGCCCAGCACTGCCTGCCTTCCCACAACTCATTAGTTGCCATTTTCTCCACAGTGGACTGCTGCCCAGCAAGAGCAAGGAGTCTGTGGTGTCTGAAGGCTCGAACCAGACGAGTGGCTACCAGTCCGGGTACCACTCAGACGACACAGACACGACTGTGTACTCCAGCGAGGAGGCCGAACTGTTAAAGCGGGTGGAGATCGGGCCGCACACCGGCGGGCCCGTGCAGATGCTCCTGTCGGGCTCTGGGACCACGCTCCTCGCTCCTCCCGTCTAGAGGGACCCGCTCCCACCCCACCCCACCCCTGTCGATTGGAAATCACATGAGAGGTGCTGCTCAGATTGTCCAGTGTTGTGCTGTCCACCCCCAGGAAGTAGCCACATTTGATTTTCATTTCAGAAAGGACCTCAGACTACAGGGAGCCAGTCCCCCAAGCATTTCCCTGAGAAGCTGTTGGTGACCCAAGAATGTTGCTGGGTCTTTTCCCAGTGTTGAACGTACGCTCCTTTCCATTCGTCCAAAAAGCAGTTATGTTGCCCCAACCATGGGCCTCATCGTAGGTTCTACCAAAAGCCCAAGAAATGGCTTCGTCCTCGAAGAAGTAGCCGTCAACCCAGGCAGCTCACACCCTGTCGAACAAGAAGGCAAACAATGCAGGTACTTCAGGTGTTGACGAGGGGAAAGACCTGTAGAGCTTAGTGCATCTGGGAAGCTACGAGTAAGAAACGGGTTCTACGCCCAGGTGTAACCGCAGAATGGGGAGAGACAGCAACGGTGTCGGTCTGCTTTGCATCTGGGGCCTGCTGATGCGTCGTGGTAACCCTTGGTAGAGGTGACCATGTGATGGGTGAAGAAAGGTAAAGGCCTCCAACAAGGTTACTGCTCTTCCCAGCTTGCGTGCTCTTCCCAGTTGGGCTCAATGAGAGTTCCTTGTGCCGTTTCCGACTCCTAATGAGAGTTCCTTCCCGCCTTTACTTGCGTGTCTCCTGGCCGAGCCCCAGGAAGGAAATGATGCAGCTCTGGCTTCTTGTCTCCCAGGCCGGTCCTTTATTCAGAATGCCACAATGAAAGGACATTCAGACCCAGGCTCCCTGCTGTGTGGATGAGTTCTGGCCGTCTGACCCACCTCTGGTTCCTTCTGGATGCATGCCCACAGAGCAGTTGGCATCGTGATGGGTCTGAGACTAGATGCAGTAGGTTCAATGTCGAAGCTGTGGTGTGGAAGCTTCAGGAAGGAGAGTCACCCTTTTGTTCCTCGTCCCCACCGCCACCTCGCCCCCACCCCTCCAGTGTTTAGTTGTTTGGCCT